GACGCCGCCATTCTTAGGTTTATTTTCTTTTTCGATGGTCATCTTATGCCTTTTTATAATCAAGACGTTGCCGTTTTTAACTTTATTTTCTTTTTCGATGGTCATATTATTGCCTTTTTATAATCAGGCAATATTAAAAAAGAATTTTTCACCATCGAATAAACAGTGAGTTAGGTATTTGCAAATTATTTTTATTTGCAAATAGCTTACGTATGCACGTAGTAATAGACGCGCCCATGGTTACTATGCCCGACAGCTCCGCATATCTTGTGAAATCATGCCCATAGCGCGCTCTTACTCCGCTGCTATAATTGCAAATGCAATAGAACCCACCGTTTCCTCCAAAATATGTAAAATCAAACAATTTTACTATAAATAAGCACTTCATGAGTGTTTTATTAATTCCTTTCCACTTTGATTACCTTCATTCAGCTATCTTCGAAAAACAACTGATAGCTGGAAATGTTGCACATGTTTCCGCAAGGGTTGCAGCATGTGGATTTTTCGTTTTTCGTAGCGTAGCTACGGATTACGAATTACGAAAATTCGGGTTCTAGAATAAGGAAGTAAATTCATTTCTTCGGCTTTTTCTATTACTCTCGTCTTCTCTTTGTGCAATGTGTATTAGCTCTGATCCAGTACTCAATGAACTTACAGGTTTTTACACGAACTTGCAGGAAGTTACGGGAAAAATGATCGCGTACTCCGAAATCCTGTAATGAGAGCGATTTTTGGAGAGTTGTGTAGAAAATGAAGTTACAAGATTTTACTCGATGCCTTTTTTACCCCTACCGAAACCAAAGATGTATACACATCAAAAAGAGAAAAATTGCAATCACATCCAGAATTTAAATGCTGTTAAAGTAATCGTATATTATTACTTTGCAGTTTCCTCTATTCAGCATAGCCTTGGTAGATTCAGGAATGGCATTCCAGAGTCTAACTGCGTTAACAAAAAACATTCTGGAGAGGTCAGGTACGTGTACCTAGGAACAAGCAGAATTTGATGTCGTCTAGACTTAATCAAGTAAGCTTTGTTTTTTTTTACTTAGTTATTAATTTATTTCCAAAGAAATTAGTTTAACAAAAGCATACCACAATATCAAATCAAAGTACATATTAATGTTCCTCTGCGCCAAATGGCTAAAAAGAGGTTATCTGACAACTGATCATACAAGGAGTTTAGGGAGAAAAAAAATAACATAAAAAGTTAACAATTGAGAATTATATACTTAACA